GTCTCAGAGCAGATCGACGAGTTCAACAAGATCATCGACGACCTCGAGAACATCGAAGTCAAGATGGACGATGAGGACAAGGCACTACTGTTGCTACACTCTATTCCTAAGAGCTACAAGCATTTCAAGGAAGCGATGCTCTAAGGAAGGGTGCAGACTATTACTTTGGAGGAGGTTCAATCTCTGATTAGAGCCAAAGAACTTCAGAGGAAGCATGACAGAGACAAGGAAGTCAGCGGAGACAGTCTTATTGTCAGAGGAAGATCGGACAGAAAAGATTCAAGAAATGGTTAGTACAGATCAAGGTCAAGCAAGGATGGCGGTAATCAGTCATCAAGAGAATCTTTCAAGTGTTATCATTGTCACAAGGACGGTCATTTCAAGAGGAACTGCCCAGACAGGAAGAATAAGTACCAAGAAGAGTCAAAAGAATCAGGAGAAGCAAGCGTAGCCTCTGATGACTACGATTCTGCTAAGGCCCTGGTGATCATAGAATCTGAATCCAGTAAGAAGTGGATCCTCGACTCAAGGTGTTCACATGTGTCCTCACAAAGACTGGTTCGAGACACTACAACAGGAAAATGATAGGTCTGTTTTACTGGGAGACAATAAAGCTCACAGGGTTGTCCGAAGTGGATCAATCAGGATAAAGATGTTTGATGAAGTTGAACGAGTCTTGAAAAATGTCAGGTACATACCAGAGCTCAAAAGAAATCTGATTTCTTTAAGTACGCTGAAGTCAAGCGGATGCTCGTTCAAGGCAGAGAATGGTTGCATCAGAGTAACCAAAGGCCCTCGTGTCGTCAAACAAGGAGTCAGAAAAAATGAGTTGTACTCTCTTATCGGAAGAACCGTGATTGCTAAGTCCATGTATTGTTTGGACTTAACAAACTCAAGCAAGGGCTGAGGGCCCCTCAGGAGCCAGGTGAAGGGAATCTTTACTTCGAAGCTTCTCAATCGAGGGTCAAGGTAGAGAATTGTTATTTTGACCCCCAATTATTGAACTAAGGTAAAAGGGAACTTTTGTAATGTGGTACCGCTCACCTACCACATCTCACCTACCGTTCACCTACCTCCCACCTACCACTCTGTTGCTTCTATAAATAGAGAGGGTGTGAGGCTTAGGAGAGCAAGCGAAGAGATCGTAAGCTACCACAAATGAGAAGAGAATAGCTAGAGAGCTAGAGAGGAGGAGAGCATCTTGAGGCCTTGTATGAAGGTGTCGCTTGAGAGGGAGGCTATAGTATAGAAGGAAGCTATAGAAGGAAGATGAGGGCTCATCTCTATGTATAAGCTATGTATTCTCCATTTTTTTTGTCTTAGTGAACTATTTGATTGATTCCCTCCCGTGGACGTAGATCCAGTTGGATCGAACCACGTAAACGATCTGTGTTTGCTTGTGTTCTTTGCGTTTCATTTCTATACCAGGAAGTACATATCTCACAACATTTGTTATGTAGCTCTTAACATAAAATTACATCCTCTTCTACGCTGCATTTCAATTCATCTTCTTTTCCATTCAGTTTCTCAAAGAATACATGTAACAATGAAGTGGTGAAGGATCATTGCAAAGGATAAATATTATCACTTTAGAAGGAAACTGAATTAGTGATAACCTGAGTTTGGTATGGCTTCAGAGGATTTATTCCTTTTTCTCTCGCTTCCCTGTAAGTTGACATAAGCAAATTAGAGAAATGAATTAAATTTTAAAGAATCCAGCTTAAAATTATATTCAGTGGCATTACTCCAGATCCACTACTCACGCCACTTCCATAAGTTGAACATTCTGCTTCCTTGTCCCCACTATGAAAGTAATAGTCATAAAGGAAATCATATTTAATTAAGTTAAGAACAAGAAAGAAGGAATAAATGTCAACAACCAGGATGTTTCCTATAGCAAAAAAACCTTTCTGTTGATCTGTTTTCATTGCAACCAGCACCCTTAACATTACTATTGCCAATGCAAGTAGCAAGCTTATCAAGGACTTTATTATTCTTCACAAAATCTTTCTCTTTGTCGGTTTTGAGAATAGCCGGCACTTCTGGATTCATAGCAGAGGTGATCTACAAATGACAGAAAAATAGATAAAATTAATTGATGCAAATGATAAAAATCGCATAAATAAATCAATCATTAGGATTCCGCACATTAACCAAATAGTCTCGCAATAATAAAAGTTGGGGTGAGATCTATTTATGGCGGTGTTTGGCTGCAACTTAGCTTTATGTTACATAGGATTTATTAAATTTGATAAATCCAAATTTATCATAGCGATGCTGCAACAAAAGAGCTCGCAAGTGATGGCTAAATAAATATGATTCACAATATGAATTACTAAATCTGGATTTACATCATAAAAATGACGAAACGCGGGAAGAGAAGGAAGGAATGCTGGAAAATTGGATTTAACGGAGCGTTGGATTTATTGATTTTATTTTTTGGTGTTTGGCTGGATTTAAGCTAACTCCATGAATAAATCCTATAAATAATATGCTACCAAACACCGCCTAAGAAATGTAAATCTAAAAAAAGGCCAACTAATCAATTAATAAACAAATAGCTTTGAAAGCAATAAAAAACTAATTTTATATTTTCATTGGCAATTTGAAAAACAAAAGTTACGTGAAAAACTTTCGATGACAATTTTTTGTGAATATTATACACACTCACTCAGCTGTAATAGTTCTACTTTACAAAACTATTTGCAAGAATCGTAACCGAGAACTTACATGGATTACCGAGGGATGTGGGTAAGCTCCACGAGGATAAATTGCTGTGAGTGGTCCTCCAAAAGGTGCCAACATGGGCTGAGAAAGCCAAAATGTAAGAATCGGAATTACTTTGCTAGATGAAATAATTCATGCTAAACAAAAATAGTTTTTTACATTATAAGGAATAATAAATAGTTAATCTTAACCATTTATTTGAGCCTTACATTTTACCAACTCCATGCTGAATGAAAATGTTATACATTGAATTTACTCAAATAGCCATCAATCCATCTGCATCAAAACTTTATGAAAACTAGGATTCATCTTCACCAACATCATTGCCAACATCATTTGCCTTATCGGCTTATCTCCATCTTTTTTTATTGCATCTATTTGAGGGTTTGTTCAGCCTATAATTTTTAACAGCCATCATATATAGCCTTATTGTACTTAGAAAAGTAGGATTCATTAAAATAACGATGAATGCTTCATAAACACCCACAAAGTCGGTGCATAACGTAGCCTTAACTCAAGAACAGACTAAAATATAGATAAACAGAATCTATTAAGATGTCTTAAAAAATTGAATTGGTCAAAAAGTATGATATAAAGATGGGATTATCGAAATCAAACAAAACATTATGCTCATGAAAACGATATCTGTAGCAAATATTTAGGCTTCAGTGTACGAACAAGGACCGTTTGGAGAAGTATATCAAATGAATCATTTCTTAATTAAGTGGAAAGTAAAAAACGAAGATCATGAAGTTGTTTGAGGTTCCAATTCTAAGTAAAACTGCATATAATATAGAAACATATGTTAATTGCAAGTTCAAAGAATAAACAGTTTAATCTCTAATTCTATATTGGATATGTCTCTATTTGATTGTTTTTGGGCGGGGGGGAGGTTGGTTCAGAATCAGTTTCTAAAAGTTGTTGAAAGAACACAACAAGAACTACAAAAAAAAAAAAAGCATCGATCATCCAAATTTCAACAGCAACACGTGAAAGTTTAAAAAATGATCTTCTGCTATTGCTGGATAAGCCAAAAGGCACTGTTTTGTAGTCATTCGTAACTATTTTCCAGATTTGTACTCCCAAAACTAAAGTGATAAACTGTAAACTACATATTTCCATGGTAGCATAGTCTACAGCATTCAATGCTTGCTTTCAAGTTCTAGTGAATAGGCAAACCGAGAAGAGAAGTGTAGAGCATTAGAATTAGAAATCCATAAATCAGCAGCAGTGCTACCATGACGAATTCAAATACTATTTTTGCAATCTTTACAAAATATTTGTAATTAATGAACATAGTAGCTACCAAACATATTGAGAACATGAATTACCTGTGGATTCCACATACACGGATGAGGACTGTGACCAGGAGCAACTGCAGCACTGAAATAAGGAGCTGGAATCGGAACTCCAGGGCCAAAGTATGCCTAACAATACAAGAAGGAAATACCTTTAACGAATATATTCATATTAAAGGTCAGGCCTATAGCAATGCTTCAACATAAATAATAAGTTTTTGTACAAGCAAAAGAATTCCATGAAGTTATAAAATTCCCAACCTGCATGGAGGCCCAATCAAGATAAGGATGAACAGAGAGTTGCTCCTGCCAATTAGGCTGAATGAATAAGTTCAAAAACAACCAAAATCTCAAGCTGTTGGGAACAATCAGAACTAAAAGTTTGTGTCAATCAATGCAGAGACATCAATAGTGTGCTTAGGCCTGATAGATAACAAACTCTCCTGCAATGTATGTTGCCAGAAAGTTATGCAAACGTTATTTTTATCCATTTACTGCAAGATAAAGTAAGGAATGCATTTCAGGAATTTATTACAGCAGCACAAGCCATTGAACTATCTTTACAGTGCAGAGAGTTATGTTTGAAATACTTCAATGTTAAAAAGGCTTTCTAGTTTGGTTTCCACAATGACATAATGATGATCCTCCTACATAAAGGCACAAAGTTAAAAGGCATGTCGTGGCAAGCAATAATTCCTATTGTTCAGAATTATTTATCAACCGAAGTCACCCCTCCAACCATTCTGACATGGGGGTCAGTATGCTACAGAAATATACCTCCTAGAAACTTCTTTAATGTGTGTTACAATTTCACATAATCATCTTATCAATTTGTGTATGGATTTATGAATATTTCAAATGTATCACATGCACTAACGAGCTTCAAATAAGGCCACAAGATTGTGTGGAAAAAATAAAATAAAGTAAAATAAATATTATAAGTTGCAATTATGCCCAAATCTATGTATAAACAATGTAAATAACGAGAATATACAACAAGGGTCGGTTTATGTTATAGTTGTTATAAGCACATAGTCATTTTCTCACACCGATCATACAAATAAGCAGTTAATATTTATCGAGATAAGAAATCACCATTAATTTGAATGCTTACCTGCACTATCAAAGATGATTTTTCTGATTGGCAAGACGTAACTGTTTTATTAGCACCCAACATATTTACTTGCCTTGGAAATCCTTTGTCCTTGGTTAGTTAAGGCTCAACTTCTTTCAAATAGAATAACGACGTTGTTCCAATAAGCTGCAACAATATATTAATTTAAACAACGGAAAAACAAGAGAAAGAGTCCACGTGTCACATTAGATTGAAATATGAAGTAAAAAAAGCAAGGCCACCTATAATTAATTTTTTTAACTTCTGCAATAACAGCATAAGTTGCGAACACATTTGTATTGTTTCTTTGACAATTTTATATTGTGAAATAAAAAATGGCATTTCCCTATAAGGGAAAGCACTGGTGAGCAATAACTTTGTTCCAAAATTTTGTAAACTAGCACTCGGATATCCAGCCGTAATAGTGCTTATGTTTCCAGGTTGAAAATGTTTTTTTTTTTTTTCACTTTTATCCTGTGAAATCGAATATATGGAAATTCAGCTAAAAATTAGCCCGAACATACACAAGCTGGTCCACTGATGCTGGAACACGGGGGAGGAGACAAATCCCTATACTTCTATTTCCATTGTTCAAATGGACATTTCATAGAAAAATGTCTACATATGAAGAATGAGAATGAGAAATTAATTCACAAGTGATTATTGGGCACAAGTTTGTCAAATATTTATGCAGAACTTTTAGCCTTATGACATAGGAGAGCATAAGGCTTAGGGTAATGAAGTCATTTGGACTGAAAAAACCTTCATTATAATACTACTACAACCTATCTATCCATCTGCTCAAAAAATTACAAAAAATAAAAAGAATAATCAAATTAAATTTGAAAACTTTGACTTCAACAAGAAACACAAATGAAGATTCTCTTGCCTCTGTTACAATTACCAATAATTCAGAAGTTCTAGTTGACAAATATAGCTTGATAGCCTGGAGATATTCTATTCCTCTCTAACTTCATGAGTATTAGATTAACGAACATTATGCTCTAACCATAGTAGAAGATTTATTTGTGAAAGGTATAAAAGATTACCCAGCATGTATACTCCATGAGGTTTTAATAAATTGCATAGAAGAAAAACAAGAAAGATACAGAAAGAGCAATAATAAAAATGATGGTGACCAAGAAAGTCAACAAATATGAAACTCCTAAAAAAATATATGTATCGTTTAGTTGTTACCTTTATTAAATGTATATGGAGCTTCATTATATATGGATGGATGTAAATCTAATAGATACTGAAAAAATTGAGTTGTGGCTTTAACATCCTATTTTTTATTCCCTCAAAAAGATGTAGCTAATGAGTTCAGAAGCTTTTAGCTAATGTAGCATCTCAAAAAGTGTTAATCGTACAAATCATACCCCGGTGCGCATGATAGTGAGGCTATACCCTTGCTTCAATCATATGATGTTTGGGTAATTATAGAGGTAAACTAACCATATTAATAAACCCTCATTTATTATTTATTCAAAAAAGATACAACAAAAAATTTAATGTTGATTTGTTAAAGATGGTATCACATCAATTTGACCTTTTCGAAAAGGAAACTAACAAGATTAGCATGAAGCAAGTAGTTTGTATGTCGGCTATTTTAGGGAACCTCCGAGTTTCTATGCCAAAGAAGATCAGCAACACCATTTCAGCATATGCCCTCTTCGGATGCAAGGAATCAAGTGAAAGGAATAGACAAGGGTTAAAAGTTCGAAGGAAGTTGCTGGAGATAAATAGTCAAGCGATAAATTGTGTGAATTTCATTTTTATCCACTTTTGCTTCACGTTAAAGACTTGATTTCCATGTACACCACCAATCATTCTACTTTTCAAAACACTGAAATTGTATCATAAATACATAGCAGTTAAGAGCCCGATCATCAGTATCTTCATTAGCTTTTATCCCATATTGGTTGGTCAGACAACAAGCAGTTCGTAAAGGACCAAATAGGTTCAAAGCAGAAAATTTCGATATTAAGACATCACCTAGAAAAAAGAAGAGGGCTCAGAAAGATATGATGAAAAATTACCACTTTGACGATTAGACATCCTGATATAATAAGCAGGAAAAATGCTTTTATTGGTTCTTATAAAAAGGAAAACATGGTTAAATCACGTTTCTACGAATAATTTTCTTTGGCTCTCTTTCCAAGTAACACAGAAAAAAGAAAGGTGTTCACGTTTTTTTATTAAAGAATGAACAGATACGTCCTTCCAACGAGATCCAAGGCATGAGATCCACTGTCGCCATACCTAGTAAAAAACGTAAGAAAAAGGACATCTCTACCCCTGTAGTCAGAAAATTTCGTTGCTTGTTTGGAAAACTAGTTCCAACTTTCTCTCGCCCTCTAGAACTCCCAGCAGAAATCCCTAAACGGGACGGAACGTTGAAATTCTCATGCCATTCTCATCAGACACAAATACAATCCAGAAATCCTACAGTTCTGGTTCTTATTTTCTAGCCTCTCTCTTCTCTCTCTCAATATCATTCTGTAAGCATAACCAGTCACTCACTTGATGCTTTTTTACAGAATAGAAAGAAGATTTTACAAATAATCTTTACAAAGATCAAACAAGAAGGAAATCATGGAAGTATAGAGTTGCAGTCAGTAATCAACCATCGAATCAAATATTTCTTATAAAAAATTTAGCGAAACAAAAGAGAAAACATACCAGAACTTATCGAGGGAAAAAAACTGTCAAAGAAACCAGTAAATAGTTTGAAAACAGGGAATTACGAAGTGAGCAATTGTCTTAAGTTGACAGAAGAGGAAATCGACCAGAAAAGCGGAAGCATCGTGCCCTATACCTTACTAGTTTTTATAAATTTCCCACAAAGACTTCGTGCCGAAGAGAGGAAAAAATATTACATGACTACATGCCTAGCCAATAAAATAAAGCCACGACACCCTACGCGACAGAGAAAATAAAACGGCACAGTAACACGGAGAATATTCCCCTTCGTGTTATTCATGTGTTATTGTGTATTATTCATGTATTATTGTGTTCTAGGAATATTCTTGGTGTTATAATAACACAATAACACATCAATAACACATGAATAACACACAATAACACATGAATAACACGGGAAAGAATATTTCCCGTGTTATTGCGCCGTTTTTTTCTCTGTCGGGAATATT